AAATACAACAGGTACAAACAGTTTACTATACTACTGGTTAAACCTATTATGATAAAGTATTTTTCATTTTTCTTATCAAAAATTATAATACATTATAATAATTACAATAATATGTCTCCAAAGGCGTAGGAGCCGGTAAGTTTTTAGTACAAAAACATGTTTTACAAGAAAAACACTCACACCCTGTATAATAGTCATATTTCGTTAATTTTTTTTACATAAAAAATAGAACATTTCGTTGGTCAGATCAATGCTCAAAATTTCAAAATTATAATTATAAAATTTAAAATATACATTTTAATGATGCACAATATTTGTAAATTTTAAGCAAATTTTAAAATTTAATAATATTTTTCTACTACTATTTAAAGTAAAATGAAAATTCGGGATTTCAGTTGACCTGGAAAAAGTTCTTATCTTTCAAATATAAAAAATTTAAAAAATATCAAAATTTGACATATTAATGAGGCATGATAGTTTTTCCTGTGAAGTCATTATTGTTGATATAATACACAGCAGCCCACTCCCTCTCCCCTAAATAGGCGTCCGGCCGTAGATTTGTGAATAATTATTATTATTAAAGTAGTAACTAAAATATAAAATATAATTTTAAATATTTTTACGAAATTGTGGAAAAACAGTTAACGACTCCCTTAAGTATTTTCCATTTTCAACACTTAGTTTAAATTACATTATTCATTAATCATAATATATTTTATTTGCCATTAAACAGTCTATATTTTTATTACGTGAATGAAATAATAATTTTTGGTACCTATATACCTACTTACCGGCTAAACATTTGAAGCTGTATTACACATAATTGAGTATGTTACATTTTGTGATTATTATGTCATATTATTTTAGATACCTAATTAAAATAATAATTGGAAAAATATTATAATGGTGCCGTAATATTTATTTTTATCGATTATATATTATATGCGTTATGGCAGATTGGAAATAAGCGTCACATTATGAATATATGATTTACATTTATTCATATTATTATATGACTATAATAATATATTTCATACATGTTTATAATTATTTAAAGATTCATTATTGTATGTAAGATAATTTATAATTTAAAAACCTAACCTAACCTGTTTATTTTTAATCAAATCGACAAGTGTTGTATTATTTAAGTTCAACAATTTTACAACTGAAGTCTCTTTTATATTTTATTTGTGGGTAAATCTGATTACATGTATAATATAATATAGTACATAATTATATTAGGTATGTGTAATTATTTTATTACCAATTCCACTTCAATTAATTTTGATAAAGGATTTTTTGTCACAAAAGAGAAGAGCTATTGAAGTTTCAGTTGAAACTTGAAAACAAATTAAATTTACAGCATACTTGTACGCATCTAATTTAAATTTTTGCCATGCTAAGCATGTTTAAAGAAAACTGTATTCAAAAACAATATCGTTGAACATTTTAAACTATGCATATTGTTATAGTGTTTACAGATTTTTAAATTAATTTTGATAAAAATAACTAAAAATGTCGTAAAATGTAATTTCCCATATACGATTATCAATAACGAAATAACATTTTTTTTTTATGTTAAAAGTTTAATTTTACAGTAGGTAAAGTTTAAATTTATAGATTAAAATAATAATCTTCTTGAATAAACTTTGATCATCGTAATTTAACCACGATCAACCCCTATTAGATTATATTATATTTATTAGATCAGTTATTCAATAAATCCTTGTGGCTCATAATATGATGTAGGAGTTAATTCGTAAACACACTGAAGTAATTTTTTCAGCGCTAACCAATCGATAGGTAGAAAATATTTTTGTCATCTTTCCATTGTAACTCTTGAACTCTGATATGAGCTAAATAAATCGTCAACCATTCGTTAAAGGGATATTTATCGACGTGTTATTAGACAATTTTTCATTTTCTAGTTGTCGTTTAGGATGTGTAATACGGAACGCATAAAATGCATTTATTAGAGTGGAAACTCCGTATACAATATACATAAACACACACCCGACGCATATACATTGCACGATTCGCGCGTACAGTTGAAAACTCTATAGTTTTCTTTTTTTTTCGCTCTTGCAGAAAGTACATGTATATACACATATATAATAATATAAACGTGCGATGTAGCTCAACTGTGGCCGCGGCGAGAACGCCGTTTCGCCGGCGAAATCACTTCGCGAATGTGGGTCGACCCCGAAACACTGGGTCGTTATCAAAACGTTTATGGAACTATTTTATACCCCGCCTGCACCGACCCCGATGTCCCGTATTTTCGCATCTGTGTGGGTGCATTACTTATAATATACACTATATATTATACATATATAAGCATATTAATGACGGTGTAATCGTGTCGTGCATGTATTTATATCTATACGGATATAACACGACGTATATAATAGTCGCTATACAGTGTAGGTTTAGTGCAGTTAAAATGTTATTCGCGTGCAGTCGTCACACCGAGGCGGACGTATTATTAATATACCCATACATAGTATAGTACTATGATGTGTACATTATATCCACCCACGATACCGGCATATATAATACAATGATATTATTATGCTACACCTTTATTATACGGTACGCGCTCGTGTTGCAGTTGTCCCTCTCGGGATATGCAAGCGCGTCGCCTTCGTCGTCACTATAGTCGTCGCACTGAAAGTAAAAAGAAATATATTGATATAGATATATTATGTATAAATAAAATGCCGAAACGTAAAAAGAAATCCCATCCGCTCGTATACGTGCGTATATCATATACATAATATATCATATAATGCATGTATATATAGGGACCGGACCGGACGATATCGTTTCGGCGTGGCGTATAATATATAATAAACGCGCGCGTGAACTTTGAGAGTGAAAATCCAATTGTCCCCGCCACCGTACACCAGCTCACGGTATCATAGCGAGGGCCCCACCGTCGTCTGCACCACCGCGTCCAGCAGCAAAAGTATACCCGTCCCCCTGAACCCTACCCACCCCGTCCAACTCAACACACACGCTCACACCCACACACCCACACTCTCACACAATCCAACCGACTCTACGCCGTTGCCCCGAGGGGCCGCCCTTTCTCGCACACAACCGGCAGCCACCGCCCGCCTCGCCCGGTGCAGGAACGCGTCCAGCCTATTGAACCACGCGGAAAACCCAAATACGCGGCGGCGAGGGCGGAACTGGAACGCCGCCGCCGTCGCTGGAGCGCCTCTCCGTGACCCCGAAACGATTTGCCCGGGCATCGGCGGCGACGGTGACTATACTATAATACGACGTAGTATATACTGTAGTAGAACATCCACCACACACCTCCCCCTGGCCGACCCACTCCGACGACCTGGTAGCACTCACACACAGACACGACCGTTATCATCCCACTACCCTACATACGCACACGACCGCCCAACATGCTCTCCCCGCATTCGAAAACGACTCCCCTTAACGCGTACGACGGTGTACAGCACACCGCGATCAAGGCCGTCACCGTATAATTTGCAGGACGAGGGATTTATAGGAATTTTCGCCACGGGTCGTAAATTTCCTGTGCTTAAATGACGTCCGCGGCGATAATATCGTCGACCTACAAATGCGAATCTTCTAATGATTGTGTTGGGGGTGGGAGGTAGTCGCGATTGTACCGTTATTATAATATACCTATAATTATTGAATTCTCTGAGGGCGCTTAACATATCATAACCGTATATTACGTAGAACATACCCGCAGTCATCATTTCGTTCCCCTATTCAGAGGTGGCGTCTGTCAGGGGAGGTTTCGGGAGATTATCGGGTGCGGGAAAACAAAAAAAAACAAAAAAAAACGAGAAAGATATACGCGTACGCGGGCCAAACGTGTAGCGCAAACGCCGAGGCGGCCGTCGTCGCCCCGTCAAGGGGCCCGTATAGCCGACGCCACCGCTGGCGCACACAAGGGGCGGGCGAGACAGCGAGCAGCGAGCGAGCGTGCGCGCCGGTCCGGTATTAGAGGTCAGTATTGATCCCGGCGGCGCGCGGCCCGTGTGACTGCACACACAAAAGCGACCCGCGCGCGCGCCACCGCCGCGGCCGCCGCCGTCGTCGCACGGTTGTCGGTTTTCTTACGCGCGCGCGCGGCGGCGGGACGGCGCGCGATGGCTGGCGGTGGGCGGGCGGCCGGAGGCTTATATACATGCAAGTTCCGGGGACAAGCAGCCGATCCGCGGCAGTCGCTCGTTACCCATCGACGGTGTCGCGCGCAGAATACACCGTGTGTGCGTGCGTGTGTGTGTGCGTGTGTGTGTGCGTGTGTGTGTGGCGTGTGTGTGATGTGTGTGTGTGTGTGTGCGAGTGTGTGACCGTCCGCCCGCTCGACGCCGGACACTATTTATGATAATAATATCGTAACTACATCGGCACGATATCATATTTTGTATAGTACGGAAAAAAATTTTTTTTAAAAATTTTACACACACACAAAATAACTTTGAAACACGCGTTATACAATAATATAATATTTTAATATTGGCCGTTACGTACACAATGCCTGCATAGTATATATACATATATTCACGGACGTGCATGTGCACGCGCGAACTTAAGTAATTTACAAGTCCGTCGAGGTGCTTGCTACGTAAGAACATAACAAGATATTATACGACGACAACTGCAGCGGAAGTTTTTGTCCCGTCGCCAGTCACCGTCACCGGACCAGGCACGCACTGCAACAATCGGTCACTATACAGCGGCACAGGGCTCATTGGCACGCACGGCGCGTGTCAAGTCGCGCGGCCGGCCGCCGCCAGCGTCCCTTACCGTCTGCCTGCTGATCAAGTCGCTGCAGCGGCAACACCCGCATCACCGACAACACCGGGACCACCGACTGGCCATGGCTGCGAGGTAACAGCGCGCGCGCCGGCCGGATACCTCCCGTGTGGTACGCGGCGACGACGAGACGTTGGCCACACCGTGGTATTTGATGTTTCCGGATCGGACGGCCCCGGCGAGGTACAATGCTTCCGGAAAGGCAATGCTGTGCGCAGCTATGCCCGGTGCAGACGACGACGATGCCGCCGAAGACCGAGTGCCTGCAGGACCGCAAGTGGTGGTGCTTCCTGCTGTCCAGCGTGTTCACGTTTCTCGCCGGGCTGCTGATCGTGCTACTATGGCGGTTCTTCGCGTTCCTGTTCACGCGCAAGCAGCCCGCCGAGCTCGCGGCGCCCGGTTGCCCGAACAGCGAGCCCAAGAAGGAGCCGAAGCGGCAGGGCAAACAGGAGTTCGAGGGAACGTTCATGACAGAGGCCAAAGACTGGGCGGGCGAACTGATATCCGGACAGACCACTACCGGGCGGATATTGGTGAGCGTCGTTACATAATATTAACTCATTATCATTATATCATTATCATCGTCATCGTCATATAGTCATAGTTACAACGACGTTAATAATATATTATATTACGCTGTACATTGTATAGTTGAACACCTTCAACCTAATCCATAAATGATAGGTATATAGGTGTTCTATATACTTATATACCTATTATACCTATATAGTTTATAAGGTAACTTACTATAATATTAGTATATAGGTAGGTACTGATAAATAATATGATATCTGTATATGATTGTCACGATGATGTATATGGGAGATGTATATGACTTAGTATGACTTAGGTAGTAGTGTATAAGTACGATTGATTTGGTACTGTTTTTGAGTGGTTGTGCGAAGATGACGTTGACAGTGGTTATTGTAGTGAGAAGTTGACCGCGCAAATCGTGTTCTGGAGGGAAAACCACGTGTCGCGAATACCTCTAAACGACGATCGTTTAATGGGCTTGAGTATATTATCACAGAGACGTCATCGTTATCGTTGTGCTATTATTAATATTACCGAAGCAATAAATGCAATGCTCGTATATTTGAATAAGGTTAGCCGAATAACTCTGCCGTTCTCTCCTCAGCGCCGTTGCAATGAGCTTGAGGGAAAGATATCAGATGGATAAATCTCACAATATTAATTATTAATTTATCGACGAACATGCCAATGTGCCAATGTGCCAAAATATAATTTGTGTTGCCGAGTATGGTTTACATGTAAAACGTTCTATATAATATTAATATATTCTTGCCAGGTTATAAAAATCTCGAGGGATGCAATTACAGTTCGTTCTATGTTGACATATTGTAAATCGTAAGTCATTTAAGATGTTAGAATGAAAAAACTATAAAAGAGCGTATCCAAAATATTATAATATAATGCTTATCATCCTCGATTTCGCAGAGGTCATAATAGCACCCCTCCCCCACCCCAGACATTCTGCAGACAACTCTCGGTCGACAACGCTCATACAGATTATGGTCTGAACATATTTTGGTCTGCTACACTCGAGAAAACTGAATTTCCCATCGGCCCCTGAGCAGAGAACGAGGTGCGCCCAAGAAGGTTGCAACATGTCCATCAATACGTATATAATACACAATCGTTTACAACCCTTAACCCACCCCCGTGTCCACATACAATCCGTTTTTTAACGTCCGTGACCCGTAACACGGTCCCGTCAACCGACGGACACGTGTTTGGATACGAAAAAGGACTATTATCGCGATTCGGGAAAAATGGTGTACTACCACGGGACAAGGTTTTTTATTCGAATAAAACTTGCGGTGACGGTCTGTACCACGCGACGGTAATAATAATTATTGTGACAGAACGGTGTCTCGTACGTACCACGAACGCAATGCGTACAATAATTTATAATAAAACGCGATTAAACAATCGCAATATAATATTATTATAATACACCGTTTGTCAGGAGTACACAAAGTATTGTGTGTGTGTGTGTGTGTGTGTTATGATGAAATTATACAATGAGGTACAGTTATTATTATTATTTAGTGATGTATTATGACGTACGGTGCCGAAAAATTATTATTGCTATTATAATATTATTATATATTGCAATATTATACAATGATATGTATATATATTTTTTTTAAATTTTTTTGACGAGACAACCATAATAATATAACCCATTGCCGTATACGGTAAAATAAAACGTAGTACGTCGCGTGCAGATATCTCGGCTAACGTGTTTAAAGTAATTCCGAATCACTTTCCCGGGATTTTTTTTTTGCACTGCTTTGTTTTTTCGACGAAATTCGTGGCCGCTTATAAAAGTTTCGGTTCCGAGAATGAGCGCAAAAGTTGAGTTATGATTATAACTGCACAACGTAGTTACTCGAACAAACACACACACACGCACGCACACACACCCACATACACACAATATAATCACGGCCAAAGATTAAATGTATAGTGTTTGTGTTTTAGGACTGTCGAAACTTTTAATTGTATTTATCTTTATAAAGCATAATAATATTATAATACACAACACAACAGATAATAATATTATTATATTTTCAACTTTTCCAACTATTAAAAGTAGGTAGCCGGTTTTATATTATTATTATTATGTGTTTTGTTAATCAAAACGCTATTCGACTATGTATCATAATAATAATAAATAATAATATTCATATTCGTAGCTCGTACGAAAAAATATTATGAGCGTCCGATGATTTATGAACGAATAATCTATATCATATAATAATATAAATTAAAAACTTAAGTCATAAAACTTTTCCAAAACAATTTTAACAAACTCGTGATTTTCAATCGCTATGAAATGTATAAGAATAACAATCAGTAGGTAACTTATTCGATACATTATTTCGATACTACAAACTCGAATTATAATTTATAATATAATATGGGTTTGTTTAATCAGCATTGGCAAATGATAATTATAATTTATAACGTTTGTTTTTCGACTACAAAAGTTTACAGATAACGATGATTAAACTCAAAATTCTTAAAAGACCTAATTTACCGCTTATAAATAATCTATATATATATATATAAATATATATATATATAAAAATAAGTGTATATTTTGAATAAATTGTATAACTCAACTACTCAAGATCCACCAAACCGATTTCGATAAAATTTCAGGGCATATTAAGATTGATATGTAGATGGTTTTTGTGTAGTTTGTAAGCTGTGATATAAGTGGTTCCGGAGTTATGGCCTTTTAAGTGCACACCTGGCCGAAAAAAGAAAAATAATAATAGTGTTTTATATTTTGGTTGCTATAGGGCATGTTTGTTGATTTGTATTGTTATTTTTTGTCAATATATCCTATTAATATTATACGAGTAAACGCGAAAGTTTGTGACTTTGTTACTCTTTCACATAAAAACTACTGGACCGATCTTGATGAAATTTTTACACTGCGTGTATTTTGGTCCAAATTAATACATAGGCTAATTTAAAAAGGGAGAGGACCAACCCCGGGAGGTGCTCAAACGGGAATTTTGAGATTTCGGATGGAAATTTTTGCTTATAAATGGTTGCCATGGGTTTTTAAGCTATAATAATAATAATAATGATCAAAATAAATAAATAACATTTGCTTTACTTTTTAAATACAAATTATATTTAATGGGATTAAATAAATGGATTATTTTAATCAACCGTAGGTTTAATTAAGTAAAAACGACAAACTTGGTATACTTTAGGGTTAAATCATACGCTTACGTACAAACAGCACGAGGTCCGCGATCTACCGCAGGTAGATTGCCTACCTGATAAAGTACTGCTGCGATTCAGAATTTTTATTCCGGGCAACGGAAAAGATAAGATAAATTTTGAACACCGTACACCGAATATTAAATAACGAATTGAACAAAGTTTGAGTCATATAGAGTTGATACATATAACGGGCAACGAAGTGTACGGGATCAGTTAGTATTGTGATAATATTATAATGATTTTAAAATCAATACACAAGTCGAATATTATTATATTACATTATATTCCTATGGATTTTTAAATACTTTATTAAAGTCTTCTTAAATAGTGAATCTTTACCATGTTAATTATTCAATTCTAAAATATCTATTCGTTTGTCCTATAATATGAATAGTATACACAGTAAAATAATGTAATCAATTTTTGTAATACAATATTATAGTGTGTAAAAGTTACTTTTTCAAATAGAACTTTTCTAAACTTTTCCAAAAAAAAAAACTGTGGTTCCAAATAATCTAAGTATATTAAAAACAAAAAATAAGATATAATATAATATAAATTAAGATTTGCAGTGCGTTAGGTGTTGATAAATTAGTTCGATATGGATAATAAAATATGTTTTTTTTCGAAGATACGGGTTCCGTAGTTGATGATTTCGGTAAGGTGTTTTATATATTATATTTTTCACAGACGTCGGTTTGAATTTATGAGTTTTCTTTGTGCGCTTTCGATGAATGGAGAATCGTATTTTACGGCTCAATAAAAATAAAAGGTACGACGAAAAATAAAAGATTCTATTTGAATAATATTATATAATTTTCTGAATGGCGGACCTCCTATCGATTAACCTTTTTTTAAAAAAAATGTAATTCATTCAAAGCGAGCAATTTTTTTTTTTATCCTATATCGCGGCTGTTATTCGCACTATAGGTATATTATATAGAATATCGTTTAGCCATTCAGCGGAATGATAATGAACAGTTAAAAAAGCCATGCCGGTATTAATGTTTCATGAAAGGTTCGATTAATTAACCGTTCGCTACTATAATACAAGTTCTACACATTAATATTCATGTACCTACCTGTGCAGTGTACACATTTACCTAGGTACACGGTCGTTTAATTTCAAATTGTATCCGATACGTTTCAACGAGCAAAACGCGCGTAATTATTATGTTTGCGAAAATCGTGTACTGTGCGGGGATTATTCAAACTTCATTCTCGTTGAACTACCCACGTATTTTATGACTGGAAATAAATCAAGATCTATTATTATACGCGACTATTATCGCGTAATAACAGACACATTAACACAATACCTACCGACTCGGCAAGATACCATAAAACATGTCCGTAGACCGCAATTATTATTGTGGTTTATAATGCGCTAACACCATTACGCGTATAATATTATTATCATTTGCTCGTTATATTAGAATATCACCATCGTAATTATTATCCTATTGTATTTTTGCTCATAATTATAAATCTCAATAACTATAGAAGGTATAAGTCGGTATTCGACCAATACTTTATCAACAGAGCAAGTACCGTTTAATAACGTAGTGATAGTTATTGCAATATTTAACGTTGTGTTATAATATAGAGCATTGGAGAGGAATAATGTAATGACCGTTAGGTATAATATCGATATGAGTCGAAATGTTTACAATATTATAATGTACGAAGATGATTTTAAAAGTTTTCGATCGAAGAAAATTTATCTTATGGTTGATGCTGGATTAAAAACAATAATTATAAA